CCATGGCAAGTGTGAAAATAGCAACGGTAGATACTGAAACTCTGTTGTTCCCGCGCCTCGGATCACCATTTCCAGATGAAATATCATACTCTGTTCCAGAACCGTCTATTACATTACTTCCAGAATTCCTGAGTGGAGCAGTTATTACTTTTTGTAAAGATTCATTTTCAGAATCTGCACTGATGTAGCCACCCAGGACCGATACAAATAGACCAATCAATATAAAATAGTGTAGTCTCATTTCCTCTGTGATAGGAATTAAAATCCTCAAAGCACTAGTTTGGAATACATGTCTCTGACCAACTACTTTTTATAACTATGCAGACTGGTTGGTAAGATTCTGCACCAAAAAACAACTCCTAGGAATCAATTTTTAATAGTTGTGGCATATGAAACATTCAGCCTCCCTTTTTATCCAGTTCCAGAGACCAAGTCCGATATAAGACTCTGCATTTAAAACATTGTACAACGATGAGAACTGTGCACACTATCTAAAAGTTCAAACATAGTAATCGATATTTTGGGGGGGGGGGGGTGAAATGTCAAATTTCCCCTGTAAGGTCAGCAATGAAGAATTTTGATATTTACTACAATCTTGTAAAAATGGAATTTAAAAAACATCAATATGAGTCCCTTAGAAGCAACATCATCATGATCTAACTAAAACAAACAAACAAACCCATCAATTCTCAATTTTAAGTAGGATCTAGAAAGGGTGCATGAGATGTAGTCAAACCTCACCTCTACCGCGAGAAGTAGAGATTCAGTTTTGGTGTCACCCCAGCTAAAGATTAACATCATCAAGACCTATTTTTCTGAAAAGAACCCAACCCCTCTCCCAAAAAACATCCTATTCTTCAATTAATCCATGCGAAAATATGAAGAATTTGAAGGGAAAAAAACATCCACAATCTCATGAACATGGCAATACATGGTTAAAAGAGATTTAATACCGCACTCCAGAATTGTGATCTCCAAAAAAGTAAATAAAACTACAAATCTAAGTGCTAACGTACATTCCTTGAAAAGTTCTCACGAGATTTGATCGGTTATGAATTCACCAAGAGCTAGAACACCAATGGAATAGAAAAGATTAAAAGAAGCAGATTACTAGAAAAATACAAGCCGCCTTAATTTAACATAAATTAAAGGGAAAAAAAAAGCAAGCTTGTGATGATACTACATAATATCCTAAATCCGCAACAACACTTAGATTAAGATTGGCGTGCATATCTTATAACAAGATGTAAGCAAAATGCACCTCTTTTATCAGACGTGGATCAGGAACCAGAAGGGTGACCCATTCACTGGATCGTCGCTGAAACTGGGGAAATTAACTGATTTAGGGTTTCAGAGAAGAAGTGTGAAAAAGGGGAAAAAACCAAGGTATACTAGTGGGTAAGGAAAAGAGGGCAGGTTTTTTTTTTTTCTTTTTTACCTATAGATCACATAAAGCGAAAGCGTTATAGTATAAAAAATAATGAATTTAGATTTGTCTTAAAACTTTAATTCAAAGAACAAAATAACAGGGAGAAAGATTAAAGTATGACTAAAACATTGAAAATATACCAAAATAGGACTTTCATGTTTTTATTCCTGAAATAGGACTTACATTACCATTCATGGTCATATACATTACCAAAAACGTATAGTAATTTGCACATGTACACTGTCACATTACCACAGGGCAAAGTCACATTACCACAGCGCAAAGTCTTATTTCGAAAAAAAAACATGAAAGTCTTATTTTGATACTTTTATCAATGTTTTAGTTCTAGTTACGTGCATTTGGTGCCCAATGTTTTTAGCAAAGAAGAGTCCAACTAATTTTTTCTGGAAGGAACAAATCAAAACAAAAAATGTATGAAGTAAAAAAGAGTGTTAGTACTCAATAACAACACCTTGGAAGCAGATTTTGCACATTACCCTAAAATAGAGCACCTGTAAACCCCGAGTACAAAATAGAGGCGCAAAGCATTACTTCTCCAATTCTAAAAAAGAGTTTCTATTTTGACCAAGTGTAAAAATAAAAAAGTGTTAAATTGTAATTGACTTCCAATTTTGCCCTTGATGTGATGGTTAAAAGTAAGATGTATGTGATGGATAGATTATTAAAGAAAAAGTATGATGCGATAGGTAAGGTATGAACAAGTAATGATAAAGCAGTTTTTTAATAAAAACTGAAAGTATTTTGTTGGAAGTGAAAAAATGAAAAAGGAAATGTTTTTTAGAACGGAAAGAGTAATATTTACCTATGTTAAACAAAAAGATGTATACCTATGGTGCATAACACAAAAGATAATACATATGGTGTACTTTTGTACATATTGTAAAAGATATTTTTTGTTGTGTAAATGACACAAAAAAATCTAGTTTTTGTTTATTTTTCTCCTCTTTTATAGCACTGCCTTTTTCGCTGAAAACATTACGTAAACGTAAAAGTACGATAAAGTATATTTATATAACTAAGTATAATTAGAAAAATAGTAGAAAGACACACCTATACTTATGGTGAAATTAATACTTAGTTTTTGTTATTGTTGATTTTATTACATGTTTCTTGATTAGACTTCCCAAGTTTAATCCCCCGGGTACTTATAGTAAAAATTACCATGAATTAAATAAATTGGATATTAGATATTCATACAAATATAAATTTATTAGATTTATGATTAACAAAGGGAGTATCTGCTACACAACACTATAAAATATATGTATACCGACACCTAAACTCATTAGATAATATAATCTCATTAATTCTCTTCCTATTTTTTCATTATTTTCCCTTTAAATTTCATATAGGCTATATGAAGTAATGCTCCAGGATATTTATTTTTAGGAAAATACTAGTGGTACACCAAAGGTGTACCCCATTTGTCCCCCACCCCCTCCTCTACTACATACATGGGCAAAAACATAAAAATAAATAACTAATTAAAAATGAAATAAAAATATGTGGTGGAGAAGGAGGTGGGGGACAAATGGGTTTGATGTACCCCTAGCATTGCTCTTATTTTAAACAATCAAAAATAAAGAGGGAAGCCTATGTGCGGTGATGAAGATAGTGAGGGCGGCATGCGTGGGACGCATAGTGAGTTAACGGAGGGGAAACGGGAAAAAGACTATAAAACGGAGAGATAACATTTTAGCGGCTTATTACAATCAAATATAAAGAGGGAAGCCTATGTGCGGTGATGAAGATAGTGAGGGCGGCATGGGTGGGACGCACAGTGAGTTAACGGAGGGGAAACGGGAAAAAGACTATAAAACGGAGAGATAACATTTTAGCGGCTTATATTATTAGGGTAGATGTAGGTTTCAAAATTATCCATATTTTTAATAATATTAATAAAAAATTATCTAAAATAATCTCAACTTTACCCGGTCTTTCAAAAATAATCCCACCTTCCACTGTGATGCATAATAATTCCAATTTTACTGAAATTTGCCAGTTTTGGGTCACCATTAAGTTTCTAACGGAGGGTTAACGGAAATGCCCGTTTTAGGCAACAAAATGAAAGTTTGGACTATTTTTGATGAATTTTCATTTTTTTTTATTTTTTTTAAAATTTTTCATTTAATTTTTTTAAATTACTTTCTACCTCCATCATCATTTCTTTTTTCTTTTTTAAAGATTAGTCTTAGTTTAAAAAATAAAAATAATAGATATAAAAAATGAAAAAAATGAGAACTGTAATTAAAAGGAGTACAAAAATAATAAAATAAATAAGGTAATCAATGGAAACTAACTTGAAATTGGTAAGAGTAAAATAAAAATATACGGGTGGGTTTTAATATTTTACACATTATACAAAGTATTAACATATCACTTCTTATATTTTAGAAAAAATTATCTACAACAATTCCAACTTTACCGGACGGCTTGTTCTTTTAAAAATAAGTAGTACATTAAGACTCCGTATAGTGTGTAAAATGTTAAAACCCACCACTCCGTATATATTTATTTTATTTCTTACCAGTTTCTGTTTAATTTCTATTGATTACATTATTTATTTGATTAATTTTATATGGTTTTAGTTATTTTTTTTCATTTTCATTATTTTTTATATATATATTTTTTCTAAGGTAAGAATAATCTTTAAAAAAAGAAAAAGAAATGGAGGTTGAAAGTAATTCAAAAAATTTAAATAAAAATTTCAAAAAAAAATAAAAAACAAAAAATCATCAAAAATAATCCCAACTTTCATTTTGTTGCCTAAAACGGGCATTTCCGTTAACCCTCCGTTAGAAACTTAACGGCGACCCAAAACTGGCAAATTTCAATAAAGTTGGGATTATTATGCATCATAGTGAAAGGTGTGATTATTTTTGAAAGATCGGTTAAAGTTGATATTATTTTGGGTAATTTTTCCTAATATTAATAATACTCTGTTAAGAGTATCCCACATCGAAAAAGTGTGAGGAAAATAATCGGTATATAAGCTTTTGAGTTGAATTAAGTAATTGATTGGATCCAATCTTTGGTTCAGTCCAAGTGTCTTATTGCTCAATCTCGTTGTCTATATCCAATCCTAAATTCTATCATACTCGTTTCAAAGAGTATATATGCATATATCAAAGGAGTGGACTTTGCCCCATGTTGACTGGACTTTGACCGCTGACTGCCGCCGTTGACCACCGCCTGCCACCGTCCGCCGCCGGTCACGGGTCGCCACCGCCAACACAAGACTGGCAACACTAAACAAAAATCCACCACCAAAGAACATGTGAGACCGAATTTATACCTGGCACTAAAAGTTGCACATTGTGCAGTACAACGCTAGTTTATTTATAAAGTTGACACTTTGTTATAAATGGAGTAATACAAAGGACACCATGTGTACATAGAAATAGAGGAAAGAAAGATGCACTAATAAAAGAAACTTAAAGCAAGCGCTACATATGATGATACACATTTTGGTTTTTGCAAGTGCTCTGCTTCACATTTGAAAAAGGAAATACATAACCTTTTAGATGCATAGGAGAGATAAATAGATAAACAAAATAGAGTGCTTTCATTTCATGCTCTAGGCTAGACTTAGACTAGCTTCAAGTAAGTCTCCCAAACTTATTGATGAAAATGGTTTTGACAGGTGAGATGGTCGGCCGTTGGTAAGTGCATTGTAAACTTGTAGCATGGTGGGCCGAAGCTGTGGTTCGGGGTGCAAACACGCAACCACTATCTTCAGTGTGGAAACCACTTGCTCCATCAGCACTTGGCTCTTCCTCTCAAGTTGGAGGTGTGGATCTATGACATCTTTTAGCAGCTGCAGCATTAGTTGGCCATGGTTGTTTGGTGTCAATATGCTCAAAACCAGATCCCCCGGATGCCTTCCCATGATCACCTCCATTGTCACCACGCCAAAACTGTAGACATCGCACTTCTCAGTCACCTGCCTCGTGTAAGCAAGCTCTGTACATGGGAATATGATGCAAACACAGAAACACTGTTACCTTTGATGCATTTCCTGCCCAGACTTCATAGAACGTAAGAAACACGGGAAGATTAATGTGTCATTTTGATTTATGTTTGTTATTTACTATAAGCTAAAATCCTAAAGCATATTTTAGCATCATTGACAATGGACAGTATAGAGCAACATATGACACTGGGATTTATCATGATTCATGAATTACCTGGAGCTGTGTAGCCGAAGGTGCCTGCGAATGATGTCGAAAAGGAAGAGTCAGGTTTCAAAATTCTAGCTATGCCAAAGTCAGAGACATGAGCTTCATACTCCAAATCCAGCAGGACATTGTTACTAGATATGTCACGATGGATTATCGATGATTGGCAATCGTGGTGCATGTAAGATAAAGCACTAGCTAGCCCTTTGATAATGTTCAGCCTCTTGTCCCAATCCAACTTCTCTGCTTCTTCTGGGTTCCTTAAAACATTTCTCAGACTCCCTCTTTCTACGAACTCAAGTACCAAGAATGAGTGCTCTTTAGAAGTACAAAAACCATAGAACTTCACAATGTTGCGATGTCGAATGTCCACTAAAGCACGGATCTCGCTTTCAAATGCTTCTAGATGAAAGGGCTGATCATCGTCTGGCGCACAAAGTTTCTTCACAGCCACCACAAGACCAGTACCCGGTAAAGCAGCTCTGTAAACAGTTGCAATAGGTGGAGTCGAATTCATCAGTAGCATCAAGGATGTCTCGATAGTGAATTTTCACATCAGGTTCCCAAATGGAAAAAATGTCTTGAGATTGTGCCTCTCTTGGCTCATTCTTTTTGCGAAAGATGAGGAATACACAGCCGACCAGAATTAACAACAAAAGCAACCCCCCCAAAATAGGTGTAACTATTAGGATCACCAGTCCGTTATTGGAGCTTCCCTTCCCACAAGGGGATATGCTTGAGGCATTACCACACAGGCCTTTGTTGTTTTGGAGAGCATCAAATGGGGCATTGATGAATGCTTTGTTGCTTGGAATAGGACCCTCCAACTGATTGTAAGAAATGTTCACTTTCGACAAGCTCTGCATGTAATTGAAAGTGGATGGAATGACACCAGAAAGCAAGTTATGAGAAAGGTTCAAATTTTCTAATCTTTGAGATCTTCCAAGCTCTGGTGGAATCTCTCCACCTAGCATATTCCAACTCAAATCAATAGTCTCAAGGGAAAGTAGTCTGTACATTTCAACTGGAACATTACCTACCAAATGATTACTGCTCAAGTTCAAGCTCACTAACCTGAAGCATTTCCCAAGGTTTCCAGGAATCACTCCCATCAAACTATTTGCTGCCAAACTAAGGTGTTCCATATTAGAAAGCTCTCCCATCTCTTGTGGGATGTTGCCAACGAGTTTGTTGTCATTGAGAAGAAGGTTTTCCAATCTTGTCAGCCTGCCTAGTTCATTAGGAATTTCTCCGCTTAAATCATTAGAAGACAGATCAAGGAACTGTAATTGTGCGGCTTGAGCTATCTCAGAAGGTATCCTACCAGAGATTGCATTTCCAGATATTTTGAAAGCAGTGAGGTTAGGGAAAAGATTCCATTTTCGAGGAAGCTCGCCGGACAACTTGTTATCGCCGGAATAAAGTAATTATGGTAATACAAGAATAAGGAAACTAAATAATATTAGGAGTCTTCCTATTATCCCCCCGCAAGCTGATCAACGGATACGAGGGGCAGCTTGGAACACAAATAATGGAACGGAGTCGGCGGAAGCGGTTTTGTCAAGATGTCAGCAAGCTGCTCAGAAGAAGGAACATGATGTGTAGTCATAGTGCCAGCCATAACCTCGTCTCGAACAAAGTGACAGTCAGAGCCAACATGCTTCATGCGATCATGGAGAACGGGATTCTTGGTGACACAGATTGTGGACTCATTATCACAATAAATCTTAGGTTTCGTAGGCGGAACATGCAGAGAATCCATAATATAACGAAGCCACATCGCCTCTGCCACCCCCGCGGCCATAGCGCGATACTCAGCTTCGGTGGAGGAGCGCGAGACGCGAGTCTGTTTTTTTG